GTTCCTGCATGGCCGTTAACTCAACTGTAGAACTCCTTGGTATTCTCCTATGCTCAGCAATAGAGAGTCTTCTACTATACATACGACGCCTCACAACTACTGCATTGCAATTTATAGACAACGTTATTATGGAAACCAGGAGGCAACCTGTCTTTATGCACACGAATCATTCCTGGTAATTTATTATTGCAAGAATAAGCAATATTTGTCAAATTATTTTTAAAAAACTTTGCCAGTCTGTTCGAAACCACACCAAAAAGCGGTATGGTAAAATATTTTTTATCATAACCAGAAGCTGTCAAATTTGTTTTAACTATCTCTGAACCTCGTCCACAATTCACAATAAGAAACCTCAGTCTACGTTTTATAATTTTAAAAATTAGGTCAAAAGGATAATTATTATTAATTAGCGTCAAAATAATAAAATCTAAATTATTCTTATGAAAAGTCGGATGACTAAGATAAAATATCCTATCCACCAAGCCAATAATTGTTCCGAATCTTGTGTTGAATAGGATAAAAAGATAAATAGTTTAGGTACCGACCAGAAAACATTGGTTTATGATACCAGTCGAAAATAATTGTGTTATTACGTATTAAAAGAGTGGTGTCTAAAAAGTCAATACTGTCATCTCCTATTTCAATTGTGAACTGCAGCCGAGGATGAAACAATTTTAGTTTTAATTATTTATTATATTTTAATCTTACCTATTTTTATTTTATTTTATGGTTTTTTTTATAGTTATGACGGCTACTTTCTAGTATTAATTTGAACTTCTTAATATTAGTCGGGTAACGGTCTTGTCAGCTATAATACTGCGAATAACATTCATGTCATTTTATTAAGGTCTTTAATTAATTCTTTTACTTGTAATGCGTTCGTTTTGTAAACCTTGAGTTTTTTTATATCACTGAAGAGGGTTCATGATTGAGCCGAAACGTTTGATTATTTATATTGAGTATTCATGTTCAATAAATATTGCTCTATTTCCTAACACAAGGAAGATTTTACTCATATGGTACATAGCACTATTAATCCTGTGCTTGAACTCGAATTAGCCTTTTTTCCTATTATTTAATTGATATCATTGTTATTGAGTTCTTATTTTCTTTCTCTTAAACGCGATTCCAGATCACGCAAGTGATCCAATTGTGATTTACAACAATCAGGAGAAAGACGAGAAACCACAGAAAGAAGAAAAATACGCACAGAGAATTTGCGTTCACGCAGAGTCTATGTTTCACGCTGCGAACAGCATTATTAATCACTGCAACTCAATCTTAGGCGATTTATTCCGATTGCAAGCTCTAATTCCGCAACAGTTATCTTCCCTCGTTTTTACCGCCGTGTTAAAACGACTCGATCGCGCGCGGCGTTCCCAGGTTAATCGCAACGAAACGCGTGAAAGCGTACACGTCCGTAAACACGTCATTGCGCGTGTATCTTTGGCCGAGTCACGTGATGCATAATCCAACGTGCGCGGATATAAAATTGGTGGCAGGTTGATGAAGGCGCGATTGCCCGTACGACGCGATGGGTGGCTTCGGTTCTTTCGGGTACAATGAGACGAGAATTCCGACGGATATACGAGAAACATCGTGTTTTAAGTGTGCCAGGCATGACGCGTGCAATTAGTCACGGGTGTAGGCAGCGCTTTAATTTTTACCGTGGCCCGGATTGCAAAATAGCCGCGGTGAGCCGCCGTCTCGTCACGTTTTATTCCGTCTTGCTCCGTCTTGCCGTGTCTCTTTCTCTGTCGTTCGTCAAATTATCTTGTCACGGGGGAGCCGACAGACGGCGCGACGCGCCCGATTGAATTGGATTTCATTTGATTTGATTGGGTGATACACAGTTGTCCCGATCGCGCGAAACCTAACTTGTTCGGATTAATGCATCCTTGTATTTAAAGTCGCGACGAGCGGCGTTGCTTGAGTAATGGCACCGTATAATTGGAATACTCGACGTGCAAACGAAACATCCGAGTAATCGAAACGAATGCAACAGCGGTTGAAAGCGCCCTTCTTTTCAACAAATACACTCGTGATATTCAAATGATGATTAATTCTCTCTCTCTCTCTCTCTCTCTCTCTCTCTCTCTCTCTCTCTCTCTCTCTTAGTTTTTCTGCTGAAACTGCACGAAATCACGAAGCGAGGGTACGCGAGAAGAGTGGCATGCGTAAACTGGCAAATATGAAAAGTCCGATGCCGCAGACGGTCATATTTTACACTTTTTGCGCGTTTAAGAGAAAGGAAAGGTCTCGCCGCCTTTTCGCGAGATCACCGCCGGTCGAAGCCACACAAGCCCGCCAGAAATTCGCACGGAGAATGGGAGGATCGTCCCGAGGGAATCCTCCTCGCTGCTATCGGGAGCAGACGAATAACGTCGACTCGGTCTGCTCGCCACAAAAAAGAAAAGTTCAGTCAAGAAATCGGCAAAAAACGCAATGTAACTTTCCTCGCCGCGCTCACCCGCTCGTTGATAATTCATTTCGATCTTTTCTCACACGAACCGTCACGTCCAGATAAATTTAAACAGTTTGACGCGACAATTTGACCTCTGCACGTACAGCTGTAAACTTTAGAGTTACGTCCACACATTAACCGATTCTGAAAATTCGACGAGCGTAATTAGAGTCAAGTTACCACGAGCTGCAGGGAATGCGATATTCAAGTAATTGAGCGACGATTAGTGTAATCAATGCGCGAGGTCGTGCCCCGTCAAGGGTTTATTATTAAAAGAACTGTTGTTCCAGACGGCAAAAAGCGCTTCGTCTTCAGCGACAAGGGGCTCTAAAAATATTTATCGTTGACTTTTATGCAGTTTCTCGTATCGTCGCGGTCTCGAAATAAACCAATGTCCTCTCTTCTCGTTCTCGTCACGACGATTCGCACGTATGCGACCACGACCTTGACCACACACGCACGCAGGAAATGCGATTGCCTCGTTTCACCATCGACACTCGCTCGTTCTCTCGGGCGGATAGATGGAGAGCGGCGAATGAGAGAGAAAGGGATGAGATGTTACGCTTATGTAATGCACGACCAATTACACGAAATGCACGTAGTTGTTGTTGCACTTGTTTGTGCGACAAGGTTGTCGGACCTGCAGAGAGATCGGAAACACCCCTTTGATCGATTGAAAAATACGAACGAGCCCACAAGTGGATTCTGCGCGTTTTCGAGCAACCCTTGCTAACTTTAGATTATCGCTTTGAGCTCTTCGTCCGACAAGCTAGTCGTACTGACAACTCCGATTACACGGTATTTGCGTTTGAGAAGGGCACGTTTCGGATTCCACAGATTGATCTTATAATTGGAGCGATTCTCGTATGTTTGTCAGCTCGATCATTCTCGACTATCCGTGTCGATCGGTCAGGTTGCGAGACACACTCGCGACAATCGCCAATGCTTTGAGGTTAAAGTTCAAGGTTAACGCCAAGACTCCGCCTGGCCCACGCTATAGCGAAAGGCAGATCGATATGTACCGGGTGCTACAAGGTTTCGCACGCGAGAGCCGATGCGAATCAAACGATACGAAATCCACGGGGTTCCGTAGTGAAATTCGCGACGTTTGGAATTCAAGCTCAAGATTAATCGCAAAGGGACAAAAAAATTACAGTGCTCCTTTAAACTGTGTATCTGTAATGTACATCATTTTCTAAGACGTGATTTTTCAAAAAGTTGCCGTATAAGAATCGAAAGCATCCTCAAATTTTCAATGGAATGATATATAATAAAATCGAAATGATCGATAAAAAACTCCCATTTTCACGTCATACCTTTAGAACTGTGACGTATTACATGCATTATCAATAGAAGCGATACATTCTCGAAGCGGCGATAGATTGACGTAATTAAAAGGTGGGGATGATCGATAACGTTATTATAAAAAAAAATATATATATATATAGATAGTGAGAGAGAGAGAGAGAGAGAGAGAGAGAGAGAGAGAAAGGGAGAGAGAGAGAGAATATATATGTATGTGTATGTGTGTGTGTGTGTGTGTGCGCGCGCGCGCGCGTGTGTGGGCGTAAGGGACACCATATATCGTTCTCCGAGAGAGAGAGAGAGAGAGAGAGGGAAAGAGGGAGGGAGAGAGAAAGAAGCAATCGATTGGCACGTTAATTCTGGTATCTTGCACGGGTCAACGACAAAAATATGCCGTCGTTATATGGAGGCGCTGTATTTTATGCATGACGCGCGATAGACACAATCTCTTTCATGCGCCGCCAATGTGATGCAGATTTGCTCGATTGAATCGCCCAGTGAATAGCGCTAAGGGATTTACGTTACTAGAATAAGTCGCTGTTGCGGTATTACACGCGTCAATGATTTCTATACATTGCGATACATTTACCATCTTTTTCTAAATAAAAAGAAAGTTTTCCTATCGGAATTGAACGTAGATGTAATTTTGACTGCAGCTACGGTTTTCCTTGCGAAAATTGTATAATATCGTGCTGCAAAAGTTTCTTTCCCAAAATTAAGTCGATAACGCGATTACCGATCGCGACAACATTCGTCAATTTTGTCATTTCACGCAAAACGGTGCGCGGTTCTGTTCGACAGATGGTTCGCGATCAGTTATCAATTACACAGCCGAGTTGGATATTTTCGTCGCGGTTGATTCCTGTGAAAACGAGACGCACACACAATCGAGTCGCGCGCATCAGTGATTATCGACGGCAATCGTTCATGTGCGAGCATATATAAAACGTAATAGCTATGTAACTCTTCTCTCTTTCTCTCTCTCTCTCTCTCTCTCTCTCTCTCTCTCTCTCTCTCTCTCTCTCTCCCTCTCTCCCACTTTCGCCGCGATCATAAATGTCACGGCATTTCGGATCAGCACATCACATTGCTGATGCCATGTGAAAATGAGGCTTAACAGGCGCCGACGATGACGGCACACGTCGTCCGATTTCAACGTGCGGTCTGACTTTATATGCACAACACGGGCTGAATGTCATCTCGGAGCATTGATTTTCCACAATGAACTCGCGTACTGCTGTCCGCGCGCGCGAGACAGTTTATTGAATTTTCAACAATCACGATGCGTACATGTCGCGGAGCTCGAAGACGCGTGAGACAGACGACACGATGAGAATATTTTATCGTGCAAATATTTTTAGATTAATATTTTTTTTAATTTAAAACAATTCTTTCAAATAAATCGTTTGATTCCATTCTTATTGGATAAAAGACTAATTAATGTTGAATTAAATGCCGCTTTGATATAAATTCGCCAATGAGAAATCCCTGGTCTGAAGAGGAACGTCTTGTCGAGAAACGTCGAGGAAAGCGCGGGCGCGAAAACGAAACGTTGAGCGGAATATAGAATTTCCGTGGCACGTGTATTCGCGCAATAGACGCCACTACGTCCCAGCTAGAGAAGTCATTGCGCTGTCGTTACACGGGTTCAAGTATAGCACGTGACGACACTCGCTAAGATCACCGACACGTTGAAGGCACGACGACTCGCTGGCGGCGATGTCTCTTGGCACGGCAAAACTGTCAGTGGCGAATCATGGCCGAGGTTTGGGCAAACTTTTAAATAAAACGATATCTCCAACCACATCTCCAACTACCGTCTGTGACTAAACAAGTGGAAGAAGATGAATATAATAAACACGCACTGGGAGTTACAGACAAATAACAACCAATGTCGTTTCATGCGCTCGTTCGCTCAATTTCTCTCTCTCTCTCTCTCTCTCTCTCTCTCTCTCTCTCTCTCTCTCTCTCTGTCGCTGCTATTTTCGCACCATTGATTGCGCGATCGTTGCGCGCTGTTAAATTTTGTTTGGAATTATTTCCAGATAACTTCCGCGTGTTTGAGAAAGGAAGAAAGAGAGAGAGAGAGAGAGAGAGAGAGTTTTTACAAGATCCGCAACGCGATCAGAAGACGAAAGAAAAGCTCGTCTCGTCTTGTCTCATTCCGTCCCGTCCCGCTTCGTCCCGCCTCGCCTTGGTTCGCCTTGCCTCGCCTTGCCTCGTCAATTCGCGCGCGCGAATCGTTCGACCCAGGCAAGGTCGCCACCGTCGTCGCCGCCGCCGCCGCCGCCGCCGCCGCCGCCGCCGCCGCCGCCGCCGCCGCCGCCGCCGCCGCCGTCGCCACCACATAGTCGCACAGCTGAAGCCGCCGTTTATCGATCTCTTGCGTCGCCGCCGAGGGCATCGGGCGGCCGCGGCCGCCGCGTCGAAGCGCAGCCTTCGCGATCGTCCGCGAAGGTCGCGAAAACGCTCCCGAAGGACGAACGCGGACGCGGCCACCGGCCCCGGGATGCACCCTTGCTCCTGGCGCTGCTGCACTCGTATCGCGTAAACACACACTGAGAGCGGTGCAGGCAAGGACGAAACCCATTGGCATAGTGCGGTGACTTGCCGTGTTATCGATCGCAAGGAACGCTTCGTGTTCCGAGTACTAGCGATCGTCATATGTCTCGTGCGGGCTTTGTACGACGTTAATCTACTGAGTGACCCGATCAAGCAAAACAAATATATTCCAGACGCGATTTTCACGTTTTTCAATCATTGTGGAGGACGTTTCGGGCTAGGTGAGAACACACGATGAGAAAAATATTCATCCTCATTCTACTTTTTTTATCGAGAAATCCAATTAATGACTTCGAGCAAGCATCGATGAACATGTGAAGAACAGAAAATATCTTGATCGATAATTCTTTTTAAGGATTCTGAACCGAAAACTACAATTTTTTTCTCGAAATTATGAATAAATAAATTTCCAACAGAAAGAGAGAGAGAGACAAAGAGAGAAAGAGATTCAGAGGTTGATCTTTTCTTACTCCTTCCAAGGTATTAACTTGGCAAAGCGAAATAGGTAAATTCTTGTATTAGACCGAGCTCGATGACGATTATTAAAAATGTCTTTCTTTTTTTCTTACATTGCATTTTTTCGTGATTTCTTGCTTCGCAAGACAGAAAGTACGGCAACGAGATGAAAAGAGAGATAAAGAAGTAAAATTCTAAAAACACAACTTGTATCCTTAAAAAATTGCGAAATGCATGTTATATAAAAAGTACATACAATGTTAAAATACGCGAAAAATACAGATGTATGTACTTTGTGGAGCAAGTCTAGATTCGAATATATACTTGTCATCAAAATTCTTCAGAGTGCAACATTGAGAAAGGGTTAACCAACTTGACGAAGCCTTCGCCTTGCAGGCGGTGCATACGCACCGTCAGCGACGAAAATAAGCAACACGACGTGAAACGTCTGAGCAGAAAAGAGAGAAGAGGAGAGCTCGCGAGATTTGGCATCGAAGAGTTCGGAGTCCGTGCGTGTCTCGGAGCTGCGATGTCTTTTGTCGCTCGTTTAACGCGGAGAGCGATATGCAATATGCCGCTCGCGTCCGTTGTCCGTTGCACCGACCAATCGACCGATCGACCGACCGACCGACCGACCGACCGACCGACCGACCGACCGACCGATCGACCAACCAACAGACAGACAGAGAGAAAAAGCAGCCCTCTCAAATTTCGAGAACGAGAACAAACGAGTGACTGCCACAGGTAAACGCCGATGGCGGTTTTTACACCATTATGCCCTTTGATGCACCACAGTCCCCCTCTTTCTCCTCCCCCCACACACACACTCACTTGACTAAACTCGAAACTATCTAAAAGCCTGAGAACGCAGCCGGCAAACGCCGTGGGATTCTTTCCTCGTGATAATCTCGCGTCGTGCCGATAGGTACGATACTCCTTTTCCGCGCGCTTTCACGTTCGCCTCGCCGCCAATGTTGTGGTTGCCATTTTCGCGACACGCGGACGCAGAAAATAATACGATCGCGCACTGGATGATGCACTTTTGCAGAGAAAGAGAAAGAGAAAGAAAGAAAGAAAGAGAGGGAGGGAGGGAGGGAGGGGGAGAGAGAAAAAGGAAAGAGAATTCGTGACGCACCAGACAAGCGCGACCAGGTCAACGGCGAGACAAGTCTCGATGAAAGAGAAGAGGAAACCTGAGGAAGAAGGAAGAAGGGAGGGAGGGAAAGAGAAGAAACGCAACCGAGAGAACAGAGAAGTAAACGAGGAAAAAGGTTTGGATGAGGAGAGAAAAGAGGATGTGTGCGTGAGTGTAGAGAGAAAGAGAGGTGAGAGTGTAAAGTAGTTGCACAGCGGAGAGAGAGCGACGATACCTCTCGCGCGTACCCGAGCGACCCGATTCACCGACTGACTGACTCAATGACTGACTGACTGACTGACTGACTCGGAGATGCACGGCGCTAAAGGCGACTGAGTGCTAGCCAGCCGGCCGGTCTGACTCGTTGCATGTGAGCGTGCAGCCACCAGACGAGAGGGGAGTCGCGGGCGGAGAGGTCGGAGGGCGCGCGGTGGCAAGGGAGGGGGGAGAGTAGAGGAGAATGCAGGAGGGGGGATACGGAGAACGCGAGGAGGAGTCGGCGAACGAAAGAGCGCACGAAGAGGAGGACGAGGAGGGACGGGGGAGGGGG